GATAAGGTCATGGAGACTGACGGGCGCATGAACAGGGACAGCCTACTCCTTATTAACTGTTGCTAATGTTGGGCTTTTGTCTGAGGCAGATTTAGGACAGGCAGCTGAAAATGTTCAAGATCAGGCTGCATCTGGGAATAATAGACTGAGGGACCAAAGAGAACAGCCACTAGAGTAGGTGTCACAGGCAAAGGATTCTACAGAGATGAGAGGCAAAGACCACACTTGAGGAGAAGGTACTTTGGACAACTTTATTTCTCTCTTCCAACTATGTCCTGGCATCTTACCAACATTTCCTTAGATCTTGTAGGTCATGCTACTGAATGACAGGTTGGTGGTTAATGGAAAGACATATGTTATCTTAATCCTGAATGAATGTACTGTATCTCACTGGCTTGTATGAAGGGCTAACATATGAACTATTCACCAATGGCTCCAGCAATTTAGCAGGTGGAGTGCTCAAAATCCACTGAATGGCGGGGAAGCCTTAGCAAACAGAGACCCTATCCAAGAATTGGTCAGTTTTGAATGCCTGTTGTATCTGTCATTGGGAACCCCAAACAGGGCAGCAATTCTATTGGTGTTCTGCCCCCTCTTGCTGCTAATCAGTTTCCTTTCTCAAGCTGATAAGAGATGAAGGTGGCACTGAAGACCCCAAGGCTGATGTCCTTGGAAATGGTCACTGTAGCAGGCCACTCTGACAGCACTGCCATCTCAGGCCTCTCAGAGTGCCCACTACAATTCTTCACTCTGCTGCCACCAACCTATCCTTACAATCAGAAGGACAAGGGTTTCTTTCAAACAAAATAAAGTGTTTATTGATTACACAAAATAAAAAGAGTGAATCACTGTTATAAAATTAAGTTGACAATCACTGTTTCTCAGACACTAGCTCACACAGACTTTTCCCTCACTGACAGGCTCTTTCTCACTCTATCAATCACTCTAATCACTCATCTCTCAAACTCTCCTCTCCCAAAACTCCACACACACCCTATATAACTCAGCTCCTCCTACTTCTGCACCACCCTCCGTCCTCTCATTGGCTGAGGTTCCCCTGCCCAGCTGTGACGGACAGGTGAGAGCAGAGCTGAATGCCAGTCACATTCATACCAAAGCTGTTTGTTTCGAGTGGCATGGAATTTCATAAGCTCCATGATGATCACATGTCTGTCTCAAATTATCTCAGGCCTAACATATGAGATAATGAATACACATAGAGATTCTGTAACAGAATAAGGAAAAATGATGGGTGATGGAAGCAGTAATGACTTTCCTTCCATGAACAAATCATTATGAGATGAAGCTGGACCTTCAGTCTGCCTATAAAAGGAAACGCCACTGTGAGAATATGATATTTAGCCACCCCACCTGGCAGAACTTTAGCAAGAAATCCCATAACTTACGTTGTACAACTGTAGACATTTTGAAATTATTGAAGTCACAATACAGCTTTTTCCTTTACAGGTGATCTATAAGTTGCCTATTCCAGGAAAAACAAATACACATACCATCTCTTGCTGATGCCCAAGGCACTTATGCCAAAGTAGTTCACATATGGCATCCATTAAAGAGGAAAAAAATATAAAACAAACTCCAGGGTTTTTTCCCCCTATATCGAAGAAAATAAAACACTTTATTCTTTATTTTCCATGAGAAGTATAAACAAATATAAGTTCAAGAATTACTAACTTGGAAGAAGGGAATCACTGTCAGTTACCACTGCATTAACTCCTCTTTTTTCAAATTACTTTGAGTAATTAAACTTTCCCAGGTTTGCCAAAGCCTCGCTGCTGATGTCCAGCTGTTCTTTCAAATGAATTATGTTTGTTCTGCTACGTTTTATCTGTATTTATGGCACCTGTGCTTTTTGTTTTTTCCTAACTGGGCACACACTCCTCATTTGAGCGAGGATTGTTGCCTGTTGCATTATATGTTTCCTTATAGGTGCCAATAAAGGTTCTTGACTTCACTTGAATTCCTCTCTTTGCCTAGGAACAAGACCCAACCAATAATGCAAATCCAAACATGTTTACAACTAACAGTTCAGACACTGCAGTCACATTTTTTTAAAATCCTGGCATCCTTCCCGCAGAATGTGCTTGTCAAACCATACGTGTAAGAACTTTGAGAACTGAGTCCTGAATTCTTACCACACACAACCTACCACCCATCCTTCCTGTAGCATTCTGTATTTCTCCAACATGAAACTCCTGTGTCAAACTACATTCGTTTTTTTAAACCACAGAAATGTCTGATGTGGTTTGTGTTCTCTTCCTCCCTCCTCCCATCAGAAAGTTGGACCGGAGGTACGTAGAAACCTTGGATGTACCAATGTAGTTCAGTGGGTTGCAAACTAATGTAATAGGTTTAAGGGAAGAGCAGCAATTAAGAAAAACATAACATATGACCAAACAGCAAGCATGTCCTTAATAATTTTCTACTGCTCTGTGCAGAACAACTTGAATGGACCTAGGTCAACCAACATCAACGCTCTAAAGCAGTTTTTCCCAAACCAGTCCTCTCCAGATATGCGGGATTACAATTCCTATGTTAGTTATAGTAAACGCATCTAGATAAATCAGGATGGTGAAGACTGCCCAAAACATGCCCACACCTATAAAGGACTACAGTTGTACTTTCCTTGGAGATATTCAAGAAAAACTTTGTGAATTTCTAATATGCTTTCCAAATACTCAGGAAAATTTATTTCTGGGCTAGACGGTTAAATTTCCTTTCAAAATCAGTGAATGTCAGCTGCAGTAGTAACTACACAGTTTTTGTTTATATGTTAAACAAGAGTCTTTAGGTTGCTTTTAACAGAAAAAAAGCACTTGATATACAGTTTAGGAAATGGCTGTGCACTTGAGTGATTAAGAAAAGCAAAGAACAAGGACCATTTAAAGACATGTTTCTAATCAAAGTGGTAGCCATGTTAGTCTGTGCAAGCATATCAGACAAGAAACAATGAAACAAAAAACAAAGAAAAGTTTTAAAAAACCACATCTGACACCTTAAAGATTCACTGCTACCTTTTAATGTGAGTTTTCGTGGATCAAGTGGACTCAGACGAAGTAGACTTAATATCTGAAAGCTCACATTAAAATACAACAGTTAGTCTTCAAAGTTCCAAACCTTTTTCTCCTTTACTTTTCTTATGCCTGTCTGATATGTTTCTAATTCTATTGCTGATACAGGATGTGATGTCACAGGTGGAAAATATGGCATTTATTTCCTGTTGAGCTGACTACATGATACTTGGGACTGGGAAATACTGTAATTTCTTTAACCTGTGAGATAAATTGTATTTGTCAACCGCACAGAACATTTTGCTCTCCAGAAACTTTACACCAGCTCCTGAAAGCATCAGGAAGCAGGACTAATGTAAAGCATTGTAACCATACAAACTGTAATGCAAAATATCTGGAGGGCAACATCTTTGTATTTGATGACTTTGTAAAAAAAAGGAGAAAGGATTGCTCCATGATATGTTTTTCAAGGGAATATTAGGAGTTGTGTGCTAGAAGGCGGTGAGATGCCCTGAGAGGATGACTATGCAGTGCACACATTATGTATCATATTTCATATGTCTTGGTGTTGTGTCTTCTGTTTTGAGTAATCGCTGACATCATTGCAATGCATATACACACAAGGCAAGGCCCTATCTTTATCCTGCAAAAAGAATGAAGACTACGACTGTCCCACCTATGTCCCCCTTAAATGATGCCACTCTTGCCTACCATACAAGACCCTGCAAGATCCAGCTGGACTTAACAAAACTTGTTCGATTCACAGGTGCAGCCAAACACTCAAAGTGAGAATCAGCAGTGCTGCATTAGCACGAAGGCCTAAACTTATGCAGAGTTTAAAAAGAAAAAAAGAACTAAAGAAAGAAAAAAGTCCAGTTTTCCTTAAAGAAACCATCAAGTGTGTTCAGGCTAAGACTGAAGTCTAGCAACTTGGTTCTCTGGATAATTAATAATCATGGGTCATTAAGTTGATTCTGATTCTTTGCAACCCTTTCTAGGCCTTTTCAGGTATCATGTACTCACAAATGATTCACTGTCCCCTTTTCTTGGGGTCTCCCTGGGATTCTGCAGCTTGCCCGAGGCCACCCAGAATGGCTCTTCTCCCAGGAGGAGGCACCATGGGGGGGAATCGAACTCCCAACCACTGGCACCATAGCCAGGTATGGAACTCGCCAAGTTCCCTCTTTCATTTCACAGCCTGATCTTCCGCAGGCAGTTTAAAGGCTTTTAATAACTTTAATCATTAACCATTTTAACAATTCTTTCTTCTTCTTTTTTTAAAATTTGTTTTAACATTGACCTTAGTTACCATTTTAACATGATACTTGTTTAATTCCTTTTTAAAATGTTTATATGCTGTACTTACTGCTTTTTAGCTTTTATATGCTGTTTCAATGGTTATCAGCCGCCTTGGGTCCTGTCGGGGAGAAGGGCTGGATAGAATTATTGTAAACAGACAAGTAAAGGGACCCTTCAATAAGGGCTTATGCAAGGCGTCTCTGAGGCCAGCGGGCCCCGTCTCGTTTCGCGCCTGTCCACCCCGCCCGCCCCGGGTTCAAAGCCCGCCTCCGGAGCCGCGTAACCTCTGCGAGCCCCTCCCCGAGGAAGAAGGGAAGCGGGTGGGTGGAGAGA